TAAACATACTGGGGCAACAAAGGACACTAAACTATGGCACAGGCTCTCACCCCACCATCCCCCTTCTTCAACAAATAACAATAGCTACTGTGTATTTTAAAACTCTGCTACCTACTGGGAAAAGCTTAGTTTTACATATAGGCAAAAACTGTCCTTCACAGCTGGGGCTTTATCATGCCCTTCAGACAAAAATATTTGCTTTAAGTCAAGGAGGAAAAAGAGTTACTGTAACCTTAGTGTTTCCTAAGAGATGCAATCCTGGAATACCAGCAAAAAAAACAGAAGCAGAAATATAACTTCTATATTCACTGCTTACACTGGCTCAAAACTTGAAAAGGAAACAGCAAATTGTATCTCTTCTCAGAGTAATTGCAGATATCTGCAGGATAATGATTTATCCCAGTAATTATTAATATGATGATCACTGAAATGGGGAACATTAATAAGTTCCTCATTCTTGCATTTCAATAGGCATCAGGTTGATACCTTTGTGCTTGTATCCTATATAAAGGCAAGCCGGTTTTCAGGAGGTGCCTGTAAAAGTTTTAAGTCTCTCTAAATTTGAAAGCTTTTAAAGCAAAGCTATTGTCTCTTCAGAAATATTTGACTTAAAAAACTAAAAACAAGTAAATAAAATACACAGCAAAATTGCCTAAGTGGAATTCAATAGATGTCTGATAAAAGCCTTCTCCAGGTATTTTCCTGCTGTCTCAGTTATTCACCATAAATACTTCAGTGCATAGCTAATAAAATGCACATTGACCCTGAACTCTTATTTGCTTGTAGCCTGCTGTTAGGAGTACAGTTGTCACTTTCCATTTTGTCCCTCAACTTAAAGTAATCTGTGGTTCTTCTAAAGTGAGCAGGTAAGGCGTTTCAGAACATAAAGGGGGGCAAAAAGCAACATGCCACCCTACCTCCCAGACTGAGAGCAGCTAGTAGCCAGGAGCCAATGTTAAGATGGGAAACGCAAGAAAGCACCTACTCTGCAATCCCTTAAAGCGAATCTGTTACTGGTAGGAAAGCGATACGGCATGATGGTTACAAATAAATGGTACAATAAGCTATTCATTTCCTACTGCCTTCACTTCAAAGATGCCAGCAGCTGCCTTTGCCACTGGTGGAAGTCAATGTAAATTAGCAAGATAGACAGCTTGGTTCTCTCTCATGTCTAGCTTACCCACAAGGTAAGCAAAACAGCAATTACATCAACTGAAAGAGTAATTACATCAACTGAAAGAGCAGAACAGAAGTGTAAGGACTGCACAACTCAAGCAGCAAACTGTTTGAACACTGAAATGTCATACTCTGCCCTGTCAAGTCAGAGACAAGTTTGATCCTGCTTTGCAGATAAGGACAAAACCAGCAAGATTAACAAAACATTGAAAAAAAAAAAATTCAAAAGCTTGGTAAACTTCCTATTATAGCTATGCAAATAGCCACAGACTATGAAAACAAGCATTCCAGGAGACCTAGAAAAGTAACGCTTTATTACATGGTGCCACAACAACAGCAGTGTATTTGGAGAGGCATGAACTATTAAAATAAAATCTCTTTGGTCAAATTTTATCAGGTATAACACTACCCAAAACCACCTGACAAACTTTCTCCCAGAAATTCAGTTTGGCTGCCCATTCAAAGCGTGTCCATGGCTTTACTCTAGTTTCCAAAGATCATTTAAAAAAAAAAAAAAAAAGCCCCACACCTGCCCAAGCCCTGCAATTAAGTATTAACTAGCGTCACTGAAAGCATCAGTCACTCTCACAGACGCTCTTGAAGAAACACACAGCAGATGACTAGGTGTTCACTCCCCTCCTCTTTCAGATTAGAGCTAAGAAAACATGTGAACAGATTTTTCACTTCCATAAGTTTATGTTTCCTTCAATGACCACATATGTAAAAAAAAATCTCTAGGTATGGATTTCCTTCATGTCGTTATACACTTCTCTCTCTCTTTCCTCCCATTTTCATTTGCTCACCAAGCCTGCTATTTTACTGGGACAGTTAATTTTCTCAAGCACATCATCCCTATACCGATCCATCACATTGAAACACTCGCATGTACCTCCAGCATAGACAAAAAGTCCTTATAAATGGTCAAGAGTTTTGCTTTGCTCAGGATTATTCAATAGGAACCAGAAGTCTTTTCCCAAAGCACACTTAAATGGTCCAGTGGGCTTACCCACAATCAATTCTTCTGAAGAGGCCATGGCTCAACGGAGATTTACACATCAAAGAAAAATAAGTATATACATCTCCACAAATCAATGTGGGGTTTTTTATCCCCACGTCAGAAGAAATACCACAAATTGCAATTTGTCTCACAGCATCTCTTCATTAAAGTTCCTGAGCAACTAAAAAAAAAAACCCACCCTGAAGATTGCAAGGTCTCTGTGGAAGTGTCACAACCTCCCCAGATATGCCTGAACCCTGCTTTTAACAGTGGCCTGCTACTCCCAGATCAGTCAGTCCTAGAATTAGCTGCAAGCTCCAAGGCTAGGATGGTGCTGGCTCTGTTCCACACCCAGTTCCTGGCCTGTACTGACCAGCGCGGTAGGCAACCACCCCACTGGTGAACAGCCTAGGCTTGGCTGCAGCAGGACTATACAGCCACCCTGTAAGCTCACCTCATGGCCTGTTAACCAGCATTCAAGCACCAGCTCCATGTTCACAGAGTGAACAACTGGACTGGCATGAATCCTCGGGCTACAGCACAAGGCACTATACATTAAAGGGGATGACAAGTTGTTTAGGCTTGTCAGAGATGGCATAAGGCAGCCTACGTAGCACTTATTTTATATGTCTACAATATTTGAAAATATCTTTTACAGATGGTGAGAAGTTTACTGATATTAGCAGAGAGAGAAGTGGCTCTCTTGATTCTGCAGTTCTCATAAGCATCTACAGACAGGTGGGAAGGGAAGCAAGGTCACCATAAAGGAAGATTATTTTATATTTCTACAGTTTGAAAAGAAAACACTGTATCTGTAAAAGAAACCATAACGAAGATTATTTCCTAATCCTGTATTTTTAAAGGTACTTTGTCTACTTAGCAGGTGTCAGAAGACAAACTTTTCAAGAGAAGCAATACCAAATAAAGAAAATTTGTGGAGAGATTATATCTGTCCAAGATTAATTTGTCTTATACTTTTCATGACTTGACGCTCTATCCAAACTTGCAAGGAAAATCTATTACTACCATGCAGTCGAGATCTCCTGACTTAAGTTAAAATTCAACATTTTCTCACTTCAATCTACTGCTCTTAAACTGGATTTCTAGTGTTTGGACTCCAGAAGTTCTTGTTCTGAGATGGCAGTCTGACCGTACAATTATTGTGATGAATGATGTTTATGAAACATTTCTCTACCAAGACTCTCATAATACGTACAAGAATGACTGTTGAACATTTCTATTCTGGAAAACCATCTCTCAAGAGAGATGGAAAAATGTGGAGATCAATATATTAATATGTACTTGATTCAACATGTAACCAAGTACATAGTACTGACTTTCAGAATGTCAGACAAACTTTCACTCCTAGATTTTGTTTTTAAAATCCTCCATCATATGACAGCAAACTTTATGCAGCTGAACAAAGTTAGCAGAGCAGAAAGTTCTTTTAGCAAGCGTGTTAATTTAGCAAGCAATTGTGCCTGCTAAACAAAACTGTGAAGAAAGAAAACTTGAACATAGCCAGAGTTCAGATTCAAGAGGGCCAAGAACTACCAGAAGCTTATTCGATCTGATTAATTGGCTGTTTGCATTTCAGCCAATGTATCTGGAAGCCACAGACGAAGTGTGAAGGCAAAAAAATTAATCAGAACAAAATAACTTCCAGAACTCTTTCCACACATAATTTCCTTTTAACCTAAAAGCTAACACTGAAGGAAGATGCATAAATTCATGGCCACGTTTAGACACTTATCCGATCACTGATCACTCAAGTCAGTCTCCTGAATATGTGACTGCAAAGTCAGGTGGCAACCTCACAACACACTGAAACACTTCTCTACCCCAGCGTCACGCCAAGGAGAGGAACAGCTGGCTTTAATCTCACCACTCTGGTGTCTGACAAGATAAAACAATTACTGCAACATACAGGTCTTGAAGACCAAGTACCTCATTTCAGCCATACCACCTACACCTGTGATCAAAGTCTTGTCCTATAAGGGATAGGGCTTAACCATGTTCCATTACTCTCAATAATTCTGACCAGGCCCAAATAACACGGGTCATGTCAGTTCTCTATAACCACAAGGCAAGGCCTTTTATGCACCCCTGTAGAGGAATTACAGAAGGTGAATGAAGTCAGAATAAGAGGTTATACCTACTTCCCAGTCTTCTATTTCTAAATTTAGACTTGGGATTTACATCATATGCAAATCCTATTTTGCAGTATTATATGTCTGTATATATGCTATATATTTTAGCCTTAAAATCTGCATTATATATTTATGGCACTCTGGCTGCCCTCTTGTAATGGGCTCATTTCCATCCAGCAGAGAGAGGAGACCAAGCTTTTATTTTTCTACAGGTACTATTCAGGCATATCCAGTATGTTTCTGCATTCATCATGAGGGCTTTTTCATTTTTTGCATTGTGCAAAGAGAAATTAAGAGTTTCAGGTATCAAAAGTAGCACTACATGACTCAAACATATTTAACACCTAGAGGCTTTCACAAGGCAATCTAGACTTAAAGAACCAGATTTCCTTGAAAACAGACTACTTACTTTACAATACAGTAATAAAGGCTACTGCTAATAATTACAGGAAAATGTTCTGAAATGCACATACCAGGATCTAAATACATGAAATAGAAAGAGTAACTCATCTTGACTTCTCTTTAAAATAAGGATGAACTAATGAAAATTCATTTCGGGGGAGTGGTGGTGGGATTTTTGTTTGCTTTAATCAACAACAGACCTTTTGAGGAGAGACACAGCTGGTACCATCTGCTTCAGGACAGAATGAAAACTAAAACTTCTTCACTGTACTTACATGTGAGGACTGAGTTCATAAAAGTTTCGGTTTCTGTACTCTTCCACTTTCTCTGGAGTATAAATGGGTAGAGATCTGTAGGGGTTTATTGATATCACCACACTGCCAATGTATGTCTGTTGAAGGAAAACAAAAAAATTATCATGGATTTTTCTTTTTAACATACTTTTGCTGTTTATATATTATTCTCCCATTTAATACTTATGCAAAAACACACACAAAAAGCCTGATTGTAGCAATGAATAAACATGTACATACACTCTGAAACACCTTTTAGATCTCTCTCAACAATCACTGTTGGGTACCAAGTAGCTATTTCTACATAACCGAAGGCCTCTTACGAACACTTTTTAAAAGAAAGCCCAATTGTACAATATTTCTGTGACTAATTCAGCTGGGGGAGGGAAAGGAAAAAAGACACAGATGTTCACGAAGAACCGACTCCATCTGCATGGCAAATGTCACACAAGCTTTGCTGTAGCCCTTGGGCACTCACACAAAACCCCGTAAAGGCAAGGCCAGAGTTGGACTGCACTCCCTCACCCAAGGAGGAGCTCTGCACCATCTCTTCAAAGCCTTGAAGCTGTTCTGTGCCCATAGAGAAGAAACCTGAAGGCTAATAGCCTCTGACAGGTTACTGTCAAAGGAGAGATTTACTGTCAGGATTCAAGTCAGGTGAAGTCCTGTTGTGGTTCCTCAGCAGACGTTAAGAGTAGTTTTGATTTCCAGATTCTAAACATACTTGCCATTGCCCTTGGAAAGCGGAGTAATGCGTTGTTTTCTCTGTTAGGTCCCATTCACTACCGAGCTGAATGAAGACCGATCTGTACACCATGATTACCATGTCGGCACACAACACAATCAACCTGCCTTCATCAAGCCTACTGCCGGGTGCCCCACAGCTCTCTGCACCTCCCTCCAGCTGCAAGGGCTGCATTCAAATACACCCGAGTGGCAAAAAATACCAAAACCCCATTCTACCCTGCCTGCAGACACTGAACAAAGATTAATTAAAACCCAAGTGTTTGGTATCTCTTTCCACAACCATTAAATAAATAAGTAACACCTGGTGAAACACGATTTTCCAATAACCAGGGACTCCCTGGGAGGTGTAAAGGCTGTACACAAAAGCCACAGGTTCCCGTTATTTGGATTACATTTGCTACTAACTACAGAAGAAAAACAATGGGTTTTACATAGTTTTTAAATGGCTTCTTTGCAGCGATACCTTAGTACCTTGCAATCACTATTTGGATTTCTCCCCGCAATTCTTCTTCCAGGGAAGTGCTGTAATACGCATTTTTAAATGGGAACAGAGGCACAAGGAGCCCGAGCTACTCACCAACAGGTTCAGCAGAGCACTGAAGTACCTCCAGAGCTACAGTCACAAATGAAAAGTATTAATTGCTGCAACCCTTCCTTATGTAACTTTCATGTCTAAAGCAATTTTCTGCTAAATGCTAACCAAATTTGGTCCTAAGCAGAAAGCTAAGAAAGCAAGATTTCCCATTTTCCACAGCATGCACATGCACAGGCAAGCTGTGAACTCGCATGGCATTTTCTGTCCCATTTAAAACAGAGTTGAACAAACTAGACTGCAGTGATAACACAAGTAGCATGAGGCTTCCAGAGACTCTCATAGTTGGTCCTTGCAGTGTTTACTATGCACAGAATGAAACAGAAGCAGCCACTGCTGACAATTCAGTGTACAACTGCTGCTATGACGAAACACAATACTTCACTAATTGGACTCAAGACTCACCATTTCTAAACAACGCATACTTTCTCCTCTCCTTTGGAACTGGCCAGAAACCTTCTCCAAAACATTTCCCTCCACGCATCCGAGTCCAGAACACACCAAATACCCTAGAAACAGGATGGTTTCACACCAAGAGCCCATGCAGGGTGCTGCGAGGGGGAGCAAGCCTGCAGGTGCCTCACATCTTGGCAGCCAGGCTGCAACTCAAAAAAGGGACAAGTCCAATCTGCCTTGCACTGCAACCTGGGAGGGAAGTGCCCCCAGAGGCATTCAGATACAGTCTGTTGAAAAAATCCCCAAATAATTAAGATTTTTGATTCTTTCAAACACATGCTGCAGTGTGTGCTTATATATATTTTCTTCAAATTAAAAAAAAAAAAAAAAAATTTCTAGTTTTGTGGTTATCCTCCCCCTAAGGAGAAAAGTGTTTTCCATCTATGTCTAATCTCTTTGGCTGAACAAGAAGAAAATGCAAAAATTGCCTTTCCACAGTGTTTATTTTGCTCTCTCAACACATATGGCTTTGGCAATTTGCAAGCCTACAGATTCATGGTGAGAATAACAGATACCCAAGAGTAAGAAGCTTTCTAGTCTTCACAAGTGCATGGATACCCCAGTTAGGACTCCTTCCTGATTAAACATTAACATATCAACTTGTTTCCTCCTAAATCGTAAGAATTTGTGAATTCATCCTGCTGTGAAATCAGTGCTGGAAAGCATCAGCAGAAGAGAGATGAAGGCCAGATCTTGAAGATTATACTTTGAACCAGGAATTCTTTGCAACTCAAAGACTTTCCCTTTTCAGCTATTCTGCTACCGTAATAGCATACAATTTAATTGCTAAGTTCCTTGAAGTACCCTGAGATGCCAAGGTAAAGAAAGATGAGCGAAAGTGAAAACCTTGATTTTTAATTTTGAATACAGGCGTTCAAATGAGATTTATTTAGAACCATCTCTTCATAGCTAAGTATTGCTTAGATGATATATTTTGGGAATTCAAGTCAGCTGTTTATTGTCAGGCATGAACAAATACAGACCATTTCCTAAAATACCAATATTTCAAAAGGTCAAATGACTATATAGAAACAAAGACATACTCATGTCCATTTTAAACACCAAGCCCAAGCATGCCAAGAAATCATTGTTTTTGCTGCAAAACTGCTTATAAGAACTAATACATTTCCTCTTCTAAAAATGCCAATATCTCAAAGCTGATGCCTAATAGCTACTTGCTACTGGTGGTCTGTGAGATTCCACATAATGGGGATAAACAGATCCGGAAAATAGCTTTCCCACATAGCATCTGCCTTCCCACCAGAACTCTATTATAAACAAACAAAATAAATGGCTTAAATCCTTGAGCAAGCGACAAACACAGAGACATTCCAGTGCTGAAAGAAGAACGCCCCAGAGTAGTGGGAGACCATACCGTGGCACCCCAGGGACTAAAGAGATCCTTCATTTTCCCTGTTTAAGGAAAAAATGAAACCCCAGAGGAATGTCCTCATGGTGATGAACGCACAGAATGCAGTCAGGAGATTTGATTTCTTTCTTGGCTTTGACATGGTCTCATTATGCAAGTTTGGACAAGATCTGTTGTGTCCTCAAGTTTTGCTAACTAGAGACTCTTGATAATACTCCTTCCTCCAAATTTCTCCTTTATTGCAATAACTCAAAAAGGCAAATTCTGCCTCCTTGGTGTGTTTTTCCAGAACCCAAACCAAAAGGACTCTCACTCGTCGTTTGTCAGTGCATCTATCATGTAGCACAGCAACACTGTAATGGGCTAACATTTCATCTGCAGAAAAAAGTATTCAAATTTCTATCAGGTCAAATGACAACACATTCTGCACTCTCCACCAAAACAACACGTACAACTCATTCCTGTTCAGTAAAGGGTTTAACACCCCAAGCCGGAAGAAAATTCTAAATCACAATTCAACCGGAAAAGCTGATAATATTTGTTACACACCACTTCTAAGTACTGTTGGGAATGCAATGACCAAGACACTTTGATGCCTGATTTTCTCCCCTTAGGACTGAAAGCCAACATAACCACTTGGGGCAAGATATTACTGCTACTTGAAGCTTATATGTGCCTTGCAAGGCCTTCTGTGTCTTTCTAACCCAACCAGCTTTAAGATTGGCTTAAGAAGAGGCCTGAAATAGCAAGACGATGTGAGGCTCCTGTTGCTTGGGAGACACTACAGGCAGCAGCCTCTTCTCAGCCAAGCACTGGGGAAAGCTATTGCTAGAACCTGGCAAACTGCCTGAAATGCCTGTGGACCTTTTCAGCCGAGAGGTTGCAAAAACCTCACAGAGAGCCCGGCAGAAGGTCCCAACACACCTCTGCAGCCAGGATGCACGAGCACTGCGGTAAAATCTGATACACAGGGAAGAGGCACTACAGGCCCGCTCGAGAAGGGAAGCTTTTAGAAGACCACTAGTACAGCTTATGGGAGAACATTTCACACTGTCGGACACAGTATATTAACAAAGCTATTTTTCCTGCTGGCAAAGTTAGTCTTGTAATACCCCAAGGGCCCAGAAGAGAGAAGATTGCAGCTGCACAAGCCAGGGAACATTATCGACAGCAGTTGAGGCTGCAGCACAGCAGCTGCAAAGCTGGGGCTATCATTAACAGCCTGCTCTGCATCTTTAAATGCTTTTCTGGATCTGTGACATCCTCTGCAAAGCAACCTTTGCCTGATATACTGCGGTTCTGGATCTTGCCAGCTCATAAGCACGTGTGCTGCTGCATGCTCAGAACAGCTGAGGCCAAGGAGATGGCAGATGCAGAGGAAGCCTGTATTTACATGTTCTCAGTTTTCTGAACTGTCTCAAACTCAAACAGAACCTGGCAAACTTAACATTGCAGTGTTGCTCCATAATGAGGTTTCTCATTTCAATGAACATTAGCAACTAGATCAGTACCTTATTAAAATATCATTTCTTATTTGAACAATCATGCTGTGTGCTTAAATTTGTTTGTCATTGTGGTTGGCCACAATAAAATAGCTAAATGCACCCTGCTTCTGTCTATTGTGTTTTTCAGGTCTGAAACACTCACAAAGTTGCAAGACACTATGTTTGTAAAGAACAAGGAAAAGAGTAACATCGAGACTAAAAGCAAAACCACCTTAGACCATTATTACTATTTCTGGGGCTTTGATTTACTGTATTGCTGTGTATAGCAATGTAGGTGTTTGTATTGTTTGGTGGAGAGGGATGGGCTGGGTACGTGAAAAACACAAACAAACAAACTAGGATTTCATCCTGTAATACTCCAGGGTTTGCCTGCACTGTTTCATGACAGCACGTAGAAAATAAACTCTACCTGTGATCCAAGCCATGCAG